TTGGGTAATAATTTGGCTGAATTTGTTTCTAGTTATTTTTTCTTCTGAGCCATTATAATTTTCAATTTGTTTTGTACTTCATAAAAAATAAATGTAACCTTACACAAAATATGTTTGTTCGAAGAAGTTGTTTCATTTGCCAACCTCAGTCATGGGCAAGAAATTGGGTAAAATGGAACGAACCTGCGAAGATTAGTTTAGAGCGTAGCTACTCTACATGGCATATCTCGTACACATTGCGTTGGTCCAATATGTCGATTTCAACATATAAATTTTAATCAGAATAAGCAAGCTAGCACCCGTAATTGTGTATGTGTGTGATATTTATGCATATTGTAATACCGGTTGGCAATTACAATTAAGGTCACAAACCTAGTCAAGCTGAATACACGAATTTTGTCCATGCACCGTTCATCGGCACTGGAACTATTGGTAATAAAAAAATAAACTTCGGTTTAAAAATTTATTCTAGTAACCAAATGCAGAGTATCTCTCTATGACACAAATCAAATTGCTATTGTTATGTTCCATTCTTGACAACAGGGGACCCTCACAGCAGAACTCGATTAACTGCTATAGTTCATTTTAACCATTGACAGTGGCATTACACTGAAGCGTGCAGCATGACAGATAGCGGGAGAGAAGACACAAACTAATCACTCTGTTTCTGTCTGCTCTAACTGTCCATGCTCTTTGTTCTTGCTGCATGTGAAGGTGCCCACCAAATTAGCATGAAAGCGTGTCCCTACAAAGGCCATCAACTTGGCCGCAAGCAGTTAGCTCCCTGCATGTGTAGATTTTCTTCAAAACACCGTGACGACTGATCGCTGGTCGAATATGCAAACACGTGAAAAGTAATATACCAGGTATGATATTGGTATTTCAGCACTGGACACTTTTGCGATAAGAGAAGATGGAGAAGAAAATTATGAACCCTGCTTTATGTAATTTATGAAGGTGCATGGTACTGCGCTTTTGGGTCAAAAGAGGAGTGAAAGAAGCAAGTGTGAAAGCTACCTTCTTAAAAAATTAGTACCCGCCACCACGCATAATGTCAGGCAGGCAACCTCCTGAAAAAAAAAAAAAAAAGTGCTCGGTGACTCTGCGAATCGAACCAAGTACCTCCTAGATTGTAGCTGAGCGCTGTAACCGCTCTTCCACTGCAGCTTTTTTTTACTGCATCAGTGCTTGCATTCACTCTATTGCTGATATATCGTCATTACTTCGAATGACGCCAAATGCAAAAACGTCCGGTGAAACTTGGTCAAAAATAGAAAAAAATAGAATGCGTTTGTCCAAGGTTACTAGAAGATAGAAACCGCCACGTGTGACTGTATAACCGTGCACTATTTACCTTGTACATTACTGTCACGACGTTCGGATAGCCGCCTCTAACGTAGGCTACCTTCTCATAATTTGCCTAATATAAATAAGAAAATAAAAATATATATCGAACTGTGACAACGCTCATCAACTATTATAAATTCACTGTCACTAGTGTCACTTTCACTAACTGAATACTCAGTTTGTTTCCATTATCGTTATTTAAGGAAGATTTTGCTAATTAACTCACAACTCTCCAAATTAGCATTGATTCTCACATCTAAAGACAGTCACACTTCATCTCGCTTTCTGTGTGGCTGTCACTGCCTTAAAACGCGTACTCCACTTTTTTATGCTCTCTAAGCATTTGACGCTGCTTTGCGGAAACTTTCCCTGACGTCTGCTGCATGGGCCAGAAAATTGTCCTTACTATCTATCGATTTCAAGCATTCGCGAAGCTGAAACGAGAGTCTCTCTCTCTTTTCGTCCTTTTCACCCGTGTGATAAAGTCTCTCGACCTCAAGACTCGTATACACGTCCCTTGTTTGTTTTCTCACTCAAACAACGCTGGACGAAATATTTGCACCGTGTTTTGTGAAAAGCATTAGCACTGAACACCTCCCGACGAGTCTCCCTCGTTTTACGTAGACACATACCTAAGCTTAAGCGTATGCACGTTCTCGCATTCCGGCTTCATAAAAATGCTGTGGTGCATGGAACCAGCGAAATTCCGCTCACAATTTCATTTGATTACTGCTGTTATCTATTTCCGCACAATTCGTCTGCAGGCACAAAAGTCCCTCCTGTGTCTTGTAATAAGAATATTGTAACAAAGGCTACCTCTTACTGTAGGTACAAAACACCCTTACGTTCACCACTATACCGTGCTCGATTGCACCGAATTAGTTTAGTAGCAGGCAGCTTTATTAAATGTAAGGTAACTGGTCGCGTTAAACAAGGAAAGATATTTGAGGCACATTTGCAAACATTGCATGCATCATTTATGCGTAGTTTCATTGATGTGGTGCACCTGGAGTGTTGTATACTTGTACTTGGCGAGATAGTGCATGGATTGCTCGATGGCTTAAGGCCATCGAGCAATTTCGTTTTTAGCTACAGTCGTTGATGAAAGGTGAGTGCTTGGCTTTGCACAGCCCACCAAAACGTCTATTACAACGTACGCGGCATCCCGTAAGCGCTGTAGCAGACACTCGCGGAACTGAAACTTAGATGCAGCAAATTATTGGCTATCACCGTATACTCTCGATGCTAGACGCTTTGCGTGCTACCTTGATATTATCGGCACATACTTCTTTCTTTCCTTGTCATTTCATCGGCTATCGTGTGTCCTCCTCGCCCTCTTAAGTGGCGAATAAGTTGAATTCATACCCGCGCTATAGTAATACCTCCAGATAGATAAGAGATTTCTCGGCTAAGAAAATGCGTAGCCAAGAGAAAGCTTTGTGAATTCGGCACCAGAAGGCCGCACCCGCACGGTTGAATTGGTAGTTACGTTCAGTGTATGAACCAGCCGTTAGTACATTAACTGTGCGGACCAGTTGTAGAAAGCCGATCGAGAGAGATATTCTGATTAGTCTTATTTGATATGATTACATATACCAATGAGCACCTATGGAAAGGACAAAGATGACACAATGAGAGAACAGGCTAAGTACTTGCACCAATAGGGGCCAAACGCTCACCTGCTTTAAGGAAGAGGAATGATTGATATGATTGATATGTGGGGTTTAACGTCCTAAAACCACTATATGATTATGAGGGACGCCGTAGTGGAGGGCTCCGGAAATTTAGACCACCTGGGGTTCTTTAACGTGCACCCAAATCTGAGCACACGGGCCTACAACATTTCCGCCTCCATCGGAAATGCAGCCGCCGCAGCCGGGATTCGAACCCGCGCCCTGCGGGTCAGCAGCCGAGTACCTTAGCCACTAGACCACCGCGGCGGGGCTTAAGGAAGAGGAAATACAAACATAACCTAAACATAAACAAGGGAAATAAACAGATAAGCAAATGAACCTAAGAAAATATCAGCTACAGCAGGCAGGAACGAGACAGACACACCTGAAAGTATAAATAATTTAAAGGCACAAAAAGTTTACCGTCTTTTTAGCTATTTCTCGGGAGAGCACTGACGGAAAGCCTATATATGCTCTCATGGTATACTTATCAAACTAAATTGACGTTACCACTGGATTCCAGTTCCATTTCCCAATAATTCTTTTTTGGTCGCCCTGTCATGACCGCTTATTCTGAACGTGGAGGCTTGGTCACCGGCAGTGTTAATGAAAGTTATATTTACCTGACGCATTGATTCTCACTTCTAAATTTGGTGAATGCTGCGGTTTTACATAGCAAAGTCAACTGTCGCTTGTAACCTCTTCGCATACCCCTGCTACATTTTGCCCACCCTCATTGAAGTGGAACAGAGGGCTCCGGAAATTTCGGCCACACGAGGCCTCTAGCATTTCACCTCCTTCAAAATGCGGTCGGCGCGGATATTATTTGATTCCGCGACCTTTCGCTCTACTTAAAATGATAGTATCGTCGTTTTTGCTCGTATATCATTTCATATTTCCAGAACAATCAGACAAGCATTCATCCAATAAAAATAGTTTGGAGAAATGGTTAATACTCGGGCAATTTCACGTTTCTCGCCGAAACAAATTGAGATCAGAAAAGCAGAAGGATCTTCGAAAATTTATTGTTACCTGTGAATATAAATTGAAACTTTTGTGAGCATGTTATCAAACAGTAAGGTACTGTTCATTTCGCCTGAAATGTTTTGGCACTGCAGGATACGTGCGCTGCCTTTTATCTGTCAGAACCTCAAATTATGTTACAGATGGGAAGACAAGATTTTTTTTTCTCGACCTCTCTGCGTCGTTCCGGCAGATTACCAAGAATCCACATGCTTCCAAGTGGCATTTTCCGCTATGGGCACGCACCCATCAGTTAGAAAAAAAAAAAAAACTACGCACCATAACCTGAAACCACGTAACATAACCTAAAAAGATCACAACTGACAGCGAAGCGACTTAGTTCCGGACTAGTTCCGTTTTCCGTTGTGCTCGTGCTTGTATTGCAAAAGTGAGCTTATACGCCTCTTTTTCCTGCTTTATTCTACCCGTAAAGAGGGAGGAGCAAGCGTGCCCAAAAGGAATTGTTCGCAGTATAGAAACGAAATGGTGGTTCAGTGCTTGCTCCAAACGCAAGAAGCGGAAAAACCTAAGTGAGATACATGAACATGTGCCGAAAGCTCGCCGCCCGAACTCCCACAGCGCGCCTGCAGCAGTTCCGCTTTCACCGATAGCCATCACAGCGCTATTAAAGAAATTCTAGCCGCGTACAATCGAGCCCAGATGCAAAATACTGAACACAGAAGTGCGGCCGATAAAGCTCATCATTTCGAGCGTGGGGCTTATATGGATGGCAGTTTCGATCACGCTATCTTCCCACAATCAGGCGCGTTCCCTACATCAGGCTGACTTTCATACGCACCATTATGCGAGAGTAACAGTTGACTTTAATTCTGCGTTGAAGAAAAAAAAATGAACGAGCATAAACTAGGCGTGACCTTCTTAGTCTCGTAAGAAGAGCTTAAACTGGGGATAGGTGGTGGTATAAAAGCAGCCTATGGCTACGCCGACAGCACAATTTCTTGAGACTGCCGCTCCAAAGAGGCACATCATGAGCCCGCTGGTAAGTTCTACTGTTCTATGATGGTCTTTAAAACACCCAGATTAATGTGCTCAGAACTATGCCGTGGGAGCAGCCAACATGCCTCTAAATCGTCCGTATAGTCTTAAGGTATATATTGTAGTGCCTCTGTATTTATTGTACTTTTATGCAAAATGTAATGTGAAATATCATTGCAAATAACGACATAAAATGTAGTTCTCATTATTCATATTCTAGCTGGCACAGAAATTCAGCAGTCCAAAATATTTACCGTACAGATTGCGTTAATCGTTGTAGAAACCATTTAGCCATATCATGTGTGCATATTTGCTACAAAAGCAACATAATTGTCAACTTTACTGCGCTCTTTATTCAGTTGAATTTGTAGCTAAAGCATGTCAGGTGTTATAAAGGACACGTTTATAATATATAATGACCCCCAATATTGATATTTTGAACGAGGAGAGATCGCAGAGATTCAGATACAAAAGTGCCCCTCCTCGACTTTTTCTAGTTGCGAAAACTATGAAAAAGCCAAAAGTTACATGCAGTATTACCAGGACAACAGTAGGGCAAAAACTGTTCGAGCTGTCAAACTCAGAAAACTTTATTTCCTTAAGCTTTGTCGCCTTTTATAACGTTTGAGTTTCAGGAAGTGGACTACTTGGGAAGTTTATATGTTCAGTTGTGACACTTACTTTCAAATTCAAAACGCGTGGTGAAACGTTATAAAAATTAAAAAAAAACTTACAAGAACAATACTAGCTAAATTTTGTTCATTGCATTAACCGCGAATAAAACAGCAAGCAGGAAAAGTTCATTTTATGTATGCTGTGCCATTATCTCTTAAGATGCAAGTTTAAGTATACAGGCACAAATACTGAGCATGTTCTTATAGGTAAAGAGCCCGTGAAAATTCTATTTCAGGAGAAAGTTGTGGTTTGAGTTGTCAAGTCAAGTGGCCTAAGAATATACGTTTCATTTCCACTGAAAGAATTCAGTAAACAATCCTAGCGTTAGAGCAATTATATCCAGGATAGAAACTAGGCATCGCACGGATGTACACATGCGCGTATAAAATTACCAGCAATGTAACAAGAGCTCTATAGCTGGCACAATGAGTATCTCATCTTTTACGTCAATTTTTGCGCTTTTTCTTCTTTGCATTTAGACAGTGCTACTTTTTCTGACGCAATCGCTTGAAATGACAAATCCTTTGGTATAATTACAATTTGTCTGACGATTGCTTAGCATTTTTATATATCTGTCAAGCACTCACGACGAAGTAAACCTTTACTCAGATGGCGGACAGCAGGTCGTTTCTCGAGAGCTGCAGGTCTGAATATAAAGCAGTTGTGTAATTTAGTAATTTTTTTTTAAATTTCGATATCATACCTCTCGGGCAGATTGTTTAACACTGGTTTTGATAGCAAATATTTGCAATGGCATAAAATGTGGGCTAGGGTAAACTCATTAAACGCAAAATCAAGGTAAACATTGATTATTGACAATACAGGTATTCGTCCTGGTTTCTTCTGCCTTTGTGGCCTGCTCCAAGGCTGGTGGACTCGGTGGCTTCGGCTACGGTGGTTACGGGGGCCTCGGCTATGGTGGTTACGGTGGCCTCGGCTATGGTGGTTACGGCGGACTAGGCTACGGTGGTGGGGGAGTAGGTGTCGGCAGCAGCGTGACTTTGCTCAGTGGCAGACCTGGCTTTGCGAAAACTGTGGCAGGGCCTGCCTTCCTCGTGCGCACTGTGCACCACGTAAACAAGGTCCATGGCGGTGGTGCCATCGTCGCTCATTCAGGCCTTGGAGGAGTTGGCGGAGGTCTCGGATATGGAGGAGGCCTGGGATACGGTGGAGGACTCATCTATGGAGGAGGCCTAGGTTACGGAGCTGGTCTGGGCTACGGAGGCGGCCTCGGATATGGTGGTGGCCTGAAATATGGAGGATATGCCCTGAAGGGATAAATACCATGTTTACATGAGGTACAGTTACGCTTTTTTCTAAAAATTTGGCCAAGCCAATATTTTGCTTCCACTATATGAGCCACGTAATGCATCTCTACAACATATAATACGTACTTATGGCATTGTGATATCACAGTCTTCGTCAGCAGATGATGAGCAGAACGCCGTTTCAAGATTAATTCATGAAATAATAGCAGAATTAGTTTCTTTACAAAATAAATTTTTACAAGAGCAAATGCCTTGTATGACAGGATTTTGTACGAGAAAACAACTTACATTTTCTTCTCTCTGTGTTTTCAGATCAGACGCGGCGCTAGGGAGCTGTTTTTCTGTCAGCGCAATGCACACAGCAATCTACCCTGTTGGTATACTTTCTGGAAGGACCCTTTGTATATGAAATGTAAATAAAGTTTGCTCAGTACTGAATATGATGCTTTCGGATGCTCTATTGATACATCTATCAGCACCAAATTTACGAATGGCTTATTTTAATAGCGCTCCATCTTTACCAATAAAAGTACGAAGTTTCCCACCAGAACCACACTCTAAAAGTAGCTTCCTCGTTTATTTTCACAAAACAAATAGTTTCTTAAAGGATGCTGACATGCACCTATACGTGCACATAACACATTGCTGTATTCATAATCAACATGTTGTTAATAAACCTTCAATATTATATCAGGTATTTGATAGTATACAGGAGGAGGCCTATAGCCAGAAGCCGTACCAGGACCTCCTTTAAAAAACAGTTATATTGCTTTACAACCTAATAATATCGATGCATAAAACAGAACAGTAACAGACCAAATACCCAATCACTAACACATGAGTGTTATTTTAGCATACAACGTGGTAGTAATAACAAGAGTAAGAAACACAATAAATAAAATCAAAGTTTTTGCGCCTTTATGAAAGTACAATAAAAACAAACATGTATTAAGCTTCCTTGTAAGTGTTGTCGAAGTACTAATTTAGTTTTCTTTTCAATTATGTAAAAAAAAGAACTTCGAGGACACTTGAGCTTTGCCTTCAAGGGTGGACAGCGATAGCGCAATCGGGCCATGTGCGCATCGCCTCCTCAACTGCTGGCCTTACTTGTTTTGATTCTCTGTGCGTGCCTTAGTGATGCCACGTAAAAACGAACGTCTGTGCGCGTAGCATTGGGTGTTTGAAAGTATCCTAAAGTATGCCAACTTCAAGTACAGTTGTTAACCCATTAAGGCCCGCGTAAGTACTGATAATGTTTTATCGAGATTTTACACATTTAATTACCTGAAATAGAAAACAACATGCTCAAAACTGCATAGAGATTCATCATTTTTTTTTCAGAACTTACGATACTGCCCTTTAAAAAGTTCGTAGTGCACTATACATAGCAACGGAAAAGCTGTTGTGATGCAATTATGCAGAATCGCTAAGCCCTGGCAAAAGTAATACCAAAGAAATAAGTAATATTGAACCATGCAACTTATTGAAACATTAGTTCTCAATGATTATCATAACGTCACACTTCTCGCAAACCGTTTCGATGTATTGTGGCAGATGTCAATTGTTTTTCGAGCTTCTTGTGAAAATGTCAGTATGAATAGAAGGCTGCAGGAAGCCCAGCAGACGCTTAAGATCCCTTTGCCCTTCTCCTGAGTAGAACAAAACTCAGTCACTGTCTTGATATTATGCTACCAAAGAAAAATAGTCAACGCATAGATGGTCTGCTAATACATCCAGTGCAGGATCGCACTCTGTGTGCGCTTTTTTCTGCCACTTCAATCATCTGGGTAAATAGGGGCTGGTACTGCTTTTTCTCCGAGATGAAAATTCTCTAGTTATTCGCGGCTTGATCGTAAAGCTCAGCCCCTTCAATGCCATTGCTACACCTGCTCAAGAGCATTGACAGTGGCACTACGTTTAATTTCTTTTCCTTTCAAAGAATGGCCACTTGATTACGGAGCATAGCAACTGCCCTTTAGGTTCTGGCATTTACGAACAATTTTTTTTTTTTGCTGGATCAAAACATAAACTATATTCCCCACGTTTTTTTTTTGCATGTTATTGAAAGTTGGTAGAGTACCGTGGTCATTCCTGTTCTGCTCCCAAGTCGGCTCTCACATATTTACAGCGATGTCTGCCGCAGTCTCATGCATCTCAGTTAACCGAAAATTGGCATTATTCCAAAGGAAATCGTTCGTTAAACTTCTGAGGCACCGCACAACATTGGATACGTGTGTGCTCCCACGAAGTCCCTTTGTACTACGCAAAGTGCGCCCACGTTTGATTACACCTCAGAGCAAAAGTATCAACTCTATATGCTTCTCGCGCTTTGCATGAATTATTTCGTTTTTGTGTAAGCATGAGTAATCTGTTAGATCTTATTTTCATTTAAGTTTAGTGACTCTTATAACAATTGATTGATTGATATGTGGCATTTAACGTCCCAAAACCACCATATGATTATGAGACGCCTAAAGGAGGGCTCCGGAAATTTTGACCGCCTGGGGTTCTTTAACGTGCAGTCAAATCTGAGCACATGGGCCGACAACATTTCCACCTCCATCGAGTATGCAGCCGCCGCAGCCGGGATTTGATCCCACGACCAGCGGGTCAGCAGCCGAGTACCTTAGCCACTAGACCACCGTGGCGGAGCGACTCTTCCAACAAGGGAAAGAACCAAGTCAATATGCCATCTCAATATTATGTTGCTGCAGTGTTTGGCTTGGGAAATTTCAATGAGCACGGTGACGATACTCCGTTCTATATTTTGTATTCGAAAAAAAGTGTACTTTGTAAGGTACTCTTGGCATTCATGAATTTCAAGTGCCCATAGCGCCATGATTATTCGCTTTGGGAATAAGTGAAGGACCCACTATATGTCCAGAAGGCAACACATGGACGAACGCATCTCTTCACATTGTTCATGTTTTGCTGGTGATGATTATTAAACATGTCTGAGTGATTTGCAATGGGTGGGCCTTAGAAACACCTACTCGTTGCGCAATCCCCGTGCTTTGACGCATAGTGCAATTCAACAACTCGGCTACGCAATTTCAAATGTGTTTGGGAGACTTTTTCTGGTAAGATAATAATAATATTAATAATAATAATAATAATAATAATAATAATAATAATAATAATAATAATAATAATAATAATAATAATAATAATAATAATAATAATAATAATAATAATAATAATAATAATAATAATAATAAGCGCAATACTGTCCACAGTACGAGCGCTTGTACTGTCCACTTTATTTCTCGTCTCCTCCTTAACTTCGTTCTTTGCAGCAACTGTAGGGCAATTTCTACAGTCAGACAAATGTTATTGTTATCACGTTATTTAGAGAAAGAATACAAGTCTGACTGCAGCAAGCAACAGTCGTTAACTGAATGAATTTCCTTGAATATACTAATGTCAACATCATAAAAGACAAAAGAAGGATAACGAATCGCAAAATTGCAAAAGAAACATTGTTAACGTTAACTAAAGAGAAAAGTGGGCGCAATACCGACCCTTGGGGGACTCCACTAGTCATTGTGCAAGAAAGACGTTTGGTATTTTACGGCAACATAACAAGGTCTATTAAGCAGATAGCTGTACAGGAGATTCACAACAGACGAGTTAACATCCAAGTTTGCAAGTTTATACAAAAACAGTGAGTGGCTGACTACGTCGAAAGTCTTGCTCAGGTCCCAGTAGACTACGTAAACCTGTTCTTTCTAAGATATAGGAGAAGATATTTGCGTCATAAAACTAGCAAGATTTGTGTTAGTTGAGCGGCCAGGGAAATACCCATAGTGATTAGAAATCAATGAATTTTTCACACTAACATATAATATGTTGCGAAGAGCCAGCTCAAAGACCTTCAACGTTACACACACTGGAGAAATCTGAGTAGTCTGTGCTTCTCAAGTATATCACTAGTTATTCGGGCTCTCGTGTGTTGTGCGCTGTTTGTAGGTCTCTTCCTTTTTTACTTCAAATTTTTGGCACACTCAGTTAAAATCGCTTGATAATTAGAAAAATTTTTGCAGCCCAACTTGAATGCTGGGAAAATGCACTCAGTCTTCCGCACGCTGGAAAAAGCAGAAGCGTGCAGATAGTTGTTAAATATTGTAGTTAGTACTGGCGCAAATATACTACCATAAGGCTATAGCATTTCGGAAGGGATGTCGTTTGGGCCACACGATAAGAACGGCTTTAAGTGCTTAATGCATGAGCAGATGAGCTTTTCATACAGTAATAGGCAACTATATGTGCTAATTGCCTTGGGCTGTTGTAATAACCGAGTCTTAGAGACAGAAGCCTAATAAACGAATGAAAAGGGATAGCAATACAGTCAGCGACAGCATGTACTTCGACACCGTCCGATTCCAGTCGCCTGGAGGACTTTCCACTTTTTCTAGACCATTTGCGAACAGCAGACATCAGAATCTTGCTGATAGGCCAGCGGAGTGTTTCCAAAACTCAGCGGGCCTATCGGCAAGACTTTTTCTAAAATTGCAATACATGAACTGTGTTCCCGGTTACATAGGCTTTTAGAGTGAGTTCTAAAAAAGCTGAACTCTTTCTTGCACTTACTGAATGTAGATGACGCAGCCTTCTTGTGCGCGTGATCTTTTTGTTTCAGTGCACTTCTAAGTTTGAAGGAAAGCCAGTGAAGATATTTACGATGTTTACGTGCATATTGCAGAATAGACTTACGCGGGCTGCTTAACACATGCTTCTTAAAGTGCTCAATTCTGTCATGAAGATTTGGTTTGTCAGTAACTTGTGATCAATCAACGGCTTACAAGAAATCATAGAAGTCCGTGTAGTCACCTCTCCTGAAAGCAAATCTTGGAGATCATGTAAACTGACTACTGTAGTTTATTGTTTTGGTACATACAGATAATGTTACGTTAAGTGGTGGGTGGAATTTGACAGGATGAACAAAAGGAATGTCCGAGCGTGAAAGTTTAACAGGTTTATGGTTCAACAGACAGATGTATAAGACGCTGTCTTTGCAATTAACGACGGTGTTATATTGCAGTAGAAAATTATTTGCCACAAAAAAAAGTGCAGGCTGCACTCTTCCTCAATGAAGTCATCATAATGAGAAAAGATATATGTGCTCTAGTAAATAACAGATTATTTAATGTCACCATGAACTATAATTGTGTACCCCCTTTGAGATGATATCACGTGTTAAACTGGAGACATGGCATCATAAATTATGGCAGGGGTAATTCTGGGCGGATAATATAAACATCCTATTAACAATTTTTTCCGGTGCTCAAACCTTGTTTCTAACCAGATCGCTTCTTTGAAAGATTTCAGGTCTTTTAGTCTAATGGATTTCAGTGAACTGTTACTGGAAACCAGCACGCCACCACTTTTTTTTTAATTGGTTGCACTGCAATGTCTGCTACTGCGGAAAGTCGTGA